GCTCAGCAGCACAGTGACTGCCTAGCAAGCACAAGGACCTGAGTTCAATTCCTGATGTAAGTGGCTAGTAACATTTGAAAACATTCTGTACCATTCTCAGCACTGATTCTACTGATCAGTGGAATGCAAGTGAGAGCAGAAATAAGGCCACTGAGTAGCAGTGGGTTTTAATGTGCACCTAAGCAGATAGAATCCACACAGGAGCAGCAGCATCTGAAAACTTGCTAGAAATGCAGATTCTCCCACCTGCGTCTGAGTTACAGACTTTGGGCATCGTGCCCTGCGGCTTGCTTGAACACACCCTCCAGAGGATCCTGGTGACCACCCACCTTGGAGACTCGGGCTGTGTAGCCAGGAGGATGAAGGAACCAAGTCCTAGTTGTGGGTGACTCACAGTGTTGCATGAAGGAAGCAGGAACTAAGAATGCGTACTGTAAGGTTCCATTTACTGTATATGGAGATCAAAGCTAGCAGAACAAATCCAGGATGTTAGAGATCAGGATAGTTATTACTCTTGGAGGGGAGAAGCAGTAACCAGAAGCAGGCGTGAGATAGCCAAGTACTGGCTGTATTCTGTTTCTTGATGGGAATGCTGGTTACACAGGTTTGTTCAGTTAATGAAAAGTCACCAAGCTGTTCACTTAGGATTTGTTCCACTTTTCTAGTCTATGCTGTATAAAGCAGTGAAGTGCAAAACATGGGTTCGTCCTTTTTTAAAAATCAGGTTTTTAATCATTCAAAACCTGGTGGGAATTCGCCAGGCTTGACAGTGCACACCTGTAGTCTAAGCTACATGGAGGGCTGAGGCAGAAGGATTACTTGAGACCACAAGTTCAAGAGCTGTCGGGGCCAACATAGACTGTTGCAAACACGAAACGTAGGAATTTAATCTGGTCAAGGTAGAAGGGAGGGCCATGTATACACGGATGAGAAAGTAAGTGAGTACAGTGTTTTTGCAGAACAATTTGGTAGCACCTCTAAAGCTTAAAATAATCTAGAAATTCTACCTCTAGAACTGTACCCAGAAATTCAGGCATCCAGAAATACATATTGTGAGACTGCTCCCTGGACATTTTTGTACATGCTTAAAAGACACAACATAAATTTCCTTCTGCAGAGGACTGGCTATATAAATAATGGGAAACTGAGCAACTGTGAAAATTGATGCAGCTTAGTACCATGAGGTAGTGTGGGAAAATGTCCCCTATGCCATCGCTGACCAGCAGAAGCAAGTTATAGGCACTCAGTATGCTGGTCCACACCGGTAAGGAGAAAGAAAAGCAGGTGCAGGTGGTGGTTATAAATGCAAGTGAAAGGTTAGGAAAGACACACGCAAAATCATTTATAGTGGCTTTTTTCTTGAATTTACCACCAGTGAATAGGGATAGGGGTTGTCATTTCCTTATGTACCCCTGTGTTAAATTTTTGGCCCCTGATCATTTTTAAAACTTTTTAAAAGTTTTAGTTTTACTGTTCAAAAAATTCTTTAAAATTCTTAAAAACATTTTCAGGGGGAAAAATAAATAATATTTGTGTAGTCTAAGTGCATAAAGATCTAGAATTTGTCTTATATGCAAACACGCACCAAGCAGGAGATGAGTAATGTTTTTGTAAAGTGATTTCCATCAGTATCGCTTATAGAGAGAGATAAAAGGCTTGCCTCTAGATATATTTCCGTTACCTAGGAAATTCACTTGAGTAGAACAATTCTTTTCTTGACAGGAACATTCTTTTTACTGTGTTTGCTGGTGAGGTCGTAGGCCAAATATTCTGCTGTTTGAGAGACAGCTTGGTTAATATTGTCCCTGTGTGTAAAAGTGACCTCAGCTAGCAAATTAGACAATGTAACTCTGGACACCAGGCTCTGCTTGCTTATTAATGAAAAAGCTTTCTGTATTTATAGCCAAGAGCTCTTAGTTGAACCCATTTAGCTAGACACAAGCCTGCACGGGAAACCTAAACCCTTGTGACCCCAGAGAGAGGCCATAAACACATTTGCGGTGCTTTCTCACTCACTATTACGTTTCCTGTGTGAACCCTGAGCAAAAGGCCTGCCTGACCCTTTCCCTTTGAATCAAGAGGCCCAAAATGTTGTCCGAGATGCTGCTCTTCTAGATTGCCTCCATTAGCAGTCCAAGGCAGTGTCAGATATAGGTGTATGGATTACCTGTCATTTAGGATGAATTGGGACTCTAAAACCCCATTAGTGTGAGGCTGGGTGCTTTCTGGAATTACATCCATTTTGTACATCTTCACTTTCAATAAATTTTGTTGCCACAGATGGAAGCACAAAAACACATCTCCATTAAGTGCATCTTCTTTGAAATTCATATATAATGTCAAGCAGATAAAACATTGTCAATGTCCAACTCCAACAAGGAAAGACAGAATCCGTTTTCAGCTCCCCAGCATAGGTGTCCAAGCGCTAACACAGAGGTGGGCTTCTCTTGGGAAGCAGTTTTTAATGTCCTGGGAAACCTAGGTTTAGCAAACTTCACAAAAGTCTTCTTTCTTAAAAAAGGACGTATAGTCTTCTCCCTGCAGCTTCTCCTTTTTCAAAATCCCTGACTGATAGGTCTGCAGGCTCTTCAAACTTGATAGATTGAAAACTGAGCTCCTAAACATCTCCCTTAACCTGCTCCTCCAGTGTTTGAGCTACACCAGCGAAACCCTGATCCACTTCCTACATCGCTCCATGGAGATCTGGAATAAGTCATTGCAGTTTATCCCTCACCCCATTTCTAACCCATAAAGCCCTGTCTACTCCTACAATTTGTCATGAATTTACTCACTGCTCAGTATTCACTGCCACTCTCCTAGTTTTGAAGACATCATCTTCTCCCACGTGGATTATTGTGCATTCTCTGAACGTGTCCCCGCCTACCTTTGCCCCTCCACATGTCTGTTCTTTACATGCAGACTGTGTTGTCTTACAAAAAGATAACCTGACCTTACTGTTTTCTTGCTTAAAACCCTCATACCACCCTTAGGATAAAGTATAAAGTCCCCGGTTCTCTGGGATGCACACAATCTGATGCTCCCTAGCTGCTCTAACATTTTACACCCAGTGTTCTGACCTCCTTACTGTGCTTTCTTGCAGGTTCTAGAAGGCAGTCAAGCCCTCCCAAGCCTCAGGCCTTTGCTTCTGTTGTTTTTCCACCATCTCACTAGCACCTCCCAGGCTTGCAGCTCAGGGCCCTCTCTGACACTTGTGTGCCTGGGGACAAGGTTAGATCCACCTAGTGTGGAGTCTGGTCATATACTTTACCTGCCTGCATAGCACTTTGCACAGCTGCACAGTTGTAATTCCTCAGATGCCACTTTCTGCTAGACTCCAAGCTGTCTATGAGCAAGCTCTGTTCAGTTCGGATCCCACTCTGTCCTCGCGGCTGCTAGCAAGGAGCCTGTCATAATTTGGGTGTCCAAGTGATAAACAGAGGCGTGAAATCCATTTTCCCAGATCTTTGGTAGGCATTATTTTAGTATTTGGTTCTGTATGCTGCAAAGAAAGCCAATACAGAAATGACCTGAAAGCTTTGAACCCTGGACTTTTATTTTTTAGTGCATGTTTGTCATACAGAATAGTGATGTTCATTTTAGGGAACTGGTACAATGCAAATAACATATCTTAATCATTTTCAATCCCTTTTCTTCCCTCTCCCCTCTCTAGTCCCTCCTCCCATCCCCTTCTCTGGTAAACTACCTTCTGGTTTCCTATCATATCTCCTTTATATTGTTCATTCATTTATTTATATTTTAAGTTTTTCATATAAAAGAAAACATTCAATATTTGTCTTTCTGAATCTGGCTTATTTTATGTAGCATGATAGTCTTGAGTTCTATCCATTTTATTCATCTTTATGGCCAAGTAATATTCCATTGTGGATATATACATGATATATATATATATTTCTTTTTTCTTTATCCATTCATCTGTTGACAACATCTAGGCTGTTTCCAGAGCTTAGCTATTGTGAGCTGTGCCACTGTAAACATGGGTATGCATGTGTCACTGATGTATGTTGTCTCTAATTCTTTCAACACTCTAGACTTTGATGGTGTCCCCTAGGGATGTGGTACAGAGAGAACTTCTCCATGGCTTAGGAATAAATTCCTCCTGGCCCCTGGAAAGTGGTAGTATGCAAGTGGCCTTCTTTGCTCAGGAGTTGGGACACCTCTAGTTTAGTTAGTTTCTTTGCCCTTGTTGGAGGGTTTGCCTTTGGTCATTTCCCTTGATCCTGCCTTGATTTTTGCCTTGTTCTGCAGTGAGGAAGAAATGGACTATGGGTAGGATAGGGCAGAGCTTGTGAGAAAATTCTGAGTCTTACTATTTAGACAGGGCCCTTTTTTGTTCTCCCTTCTGACAGCTGTCAGGCCACATGCTGTCTGCCATCTTTGAGGAGGACAGTGGCGACCCAAAGGTTGGCACAAAATGCACAAGGTTTGATAGCATATCAGTCCCAGGGACCACCTCTGAGTGGCCTGCAGTCTTATTTCCTTGACAAATATCAGCCTGGGATCAAATTCCAGCCATGGATGTTGTCTTGCCCCACATGGTGTTTTAAGACTCTTAGTGCTGGGGGCTGGGGATTTAGCTCAGCGGCACAGCGCCTGCCTAGCAAGTGTGCAAGGTCATGAGTTCGATTCTCAGTACCAGAAAACAAACAAACAAAAGACCTCTTAGTGCCATTTTTAAAAACAAGATGATCATGGACAAATTTGAGTTTCTTCTATGTTCTCCCTGGGAGGAAGGAGATTTGGTGAAAACAGCCCACTAACGTTGGCAGGAGCTGTATGAAGACCTGCCCTGCTTGCCTCATCCTTTCTCTTATCCTTCTGGCATTTGCAGTCATGTGAGTTTGCAACCCCCCTTTTTAAGTCTTAAACACACACATATATTCAAGAAAGTCATTGTTGACATTCTGTAAAATTATTTTTTCTCTGTTCCCACTCCCTTCTTATTTTCTCCTTTCTTTTCCACTGCCTCTATCATTTTACAGGTGCTGGGATTGCTGGTATGGACACTTATTGCTGGAACTGAGTACTTCCGGGTCCCTGCATTTGGCTGGGTCATGTTTGTAGCTGTGTTTTATTGGGTCCTCACCGTCTTCTTCCTCATCATCTACATAACAATGACCTACACGCGGATTCCCCAGGTGCCCTGGACAACAGTGGTAAGGGGGCCATGGGAGGTGTTCCTGTACAGTGCCCACTATCGAGGACGGCATGCAGTCTTCCAGCCAACTCAGAGTTATCTCCACCCATTCCAGGCGGGCCAAGCCATGGAGCACCCAATGTAGCAGATAATCTCAACATGATCCAATTGCTTGTCAGAGGTGCCTCGCAAAGTATAAAACTGGGCACATTAAAAGGTTTAGGGAAAAAACAACCTGTTGGTACAGGGCTGGTGATATAGTTCGGTGGCATAGCACCTGCCTGCCAAGCACAAGGTCCTGAGTTCAGTTCCTAGTACCAAAAAGAAAGAAGGTTTAGGAATTCCTCTGAGACTCAATGGCAAATCAGCACTCAGAAGCCTGAATCAAAAAAAGCTAAGTTTTCTAGTTTACTAGTCCCTGTAAACAGTGTCACCTGGAAACAGGGATGTCAGGTACTGGCCTCTGCAGATCACCCTCCCTCCCTTCCTTCTAGCTTCTGCTTATCTCTCTGCACACCACAGCTCTTAGACGTTAGGGTATGCGTGTCTGGAGGGCGAGGAGAAAAACAAAATCCACTCTGGTAAGCAAACAGGTGTCTTCGCAGTGGGAAGCAAGAGTAGTCAAGGCTGACTGGGCTTTTGTCCTGGCTCTAGGCACTGTCCTGCCTGTGGATAAACAAGGTAAGCGCGCAGCTCAGGGCAACTGGGAATGTGTGGACACAGTGCCCTGTGCCATGCACAGTAGTGGGTTATGTATACTCTGCTCAGCCCAAAGAGCTGGGAACTCTTCAGAGAGGAAGTGACATTTAGGTTTATCCTGAAGATTGAACACATGTCCCAAGTGGATTCATGGAGCTGAAAAATGAGGTTTCCTTTGCCTTGGAGCAGACAGTCTTGTTGGAGAATTTGAAGTGGCCGTATGATTTTTTTTTTTAACCCAAGTGGTGCCACACATATGTATGTATCTATAAAACAGAGCTCTGGAACAATACTATTTTTTGTTTGTTTTCAACCAATATATCAAAAATATCCAGTTCTGCATAACTGATTTATGAACCAAATGTGAAACATAGCCCACTTGGGGGTTGTAGGCTGCAGTTACATTTGGCAGACTTTCAAATAGTTCAGTCATTGCTCAGGTGCACCTGTCTTTGTGCTAAGTTGCTCTTCAAAGCCAAGTTAACCCCACAAGAAATGAATCTCCTTTTATGTACAAAAGAGGTTGACTGACTATTGGCTATTTTCCCACATCCAAGTGTAAAAATTCCCCTTTAGAGTTTCAGTAATGCAGTGCAAGTACTGACAGTAATTCCAAACAAGATGCCCACAGCTGGCTGCAGGTACAGCCCAGCTGGAATCAGTGTCCTTCCCCAATGGGCAGAAGGAAGGGCAGCCTCACAGGGATGTTGCATTCAAAATCAGCCAGCACTTGGAAGTAACAGGAACTGTGGGAACACCAGGGAAGGAAGGCTCAAAGCGAGGGGGGCACTTGAGGAATAGCATGGAGAAAGACGAGTCTGAAAGTCATGCTTGAAGAAAGTGTCTGTACCTGGAAGAAGAGACTCTTGGACAACGCGACAGGGGAGCAAAGTGTTAGGACCCAGGAACAAGCAGGACCTTATTTCCACCTTTGTTCAAGTCTCAGTTTCCAGTTGTGCCATCTAGATCACAAGCGTGCAGACCTTGTCAATAAAGGATCACACAGTAAGTATTGTCATCTTGTTAAGCTGTACAGTCTCCATCCCTGGTCTGCTCTGCTCTAGCACACGAGTGTCCATGGGCAGTTTGTGAGTGAATGAGCACAGCTGTGTTTCAGTCTAGTTATATGGTGGTGGGCTGTATTTGCCCATAGGCTGCAGTTTGCACCCCTCTGGTCTGGATCAGATATATTCTCTTCAAGCCTAAAACATTGGCTTATTTCATTTTTTTAAAAAATTTACCTTTATATATACTTTTAAAAATGAACACTGCCCCCTTCTGGCACTCCATGGTTTTAAAACTATTAGATTGTCGTTATCAGAATTTATCATCAAAAAGTTTGTCTCCATTTTATAAGTAAGGAAAATGAGGTTCAGAACTGCATAGATTCATACACCGTGCAGCTCCAGGTCCCTTGATTTCCACAGAGATTCTTTTCTGACCTCCTGCTCCATGCCCTCCACTGCCTGGGCAGTAGATAAGAACCCCAACCAGAAGCCAAAATGCAGGACCTTTAGTCCCTTTAGAACTGTCTCGTCGTTTATGTCCTCAAGGCAGTGAGCCTCTGGGCCAGGCATTGCACACGCACACGTGTGGTGGCTCAGACAGCCCACGAAGTGCGGAAACTCCGCTCAGTGTTGAACTCTTGTCTCCCCCACATACCCCGCTGGCACTTTCTTAGCATCCTAAACACGCTGAGAATGCTTCACAAAGAAGTAATCTGGAAATGTGCTGCCAGGATTGGTAAACTGTTGGTTTAGTCAAGAAATCTGGATTGTTGAGTGAATTCTCCCTATTAGAAGGTATTTAAAGCCAGTTTTTCAAAATTTCACTTTCTGCTGCTCAGTTAGGTCTGGCTTCTGGTTGGGGCTTTTATTTACTGTGCCAATTAAGAAGCACACTTGCAACTCCGCAGAGTATTTGGGATCTGAGTAAATGGTGCTCACTGGAGATCCAGAGTGGAGACTAGGGAAGACTGGTGCCATCTGCTAGCCACTGAAGGCTCAGACTGTACCTCTACACCACTCACTGCCAGCAGTGGCTCCTGCACAATACATGGGGCTGCAGTGTGGTCCTGGCTGCTGTGGCGCAGGAGTGCTGTGAGCATCAGGCCAGGGCTCCATGCGGAGGCAACTGATAACCTCCTACAATCCTGCTACTCAGGGCTGGGCCCAGGCTGCTGGCATCACTGGACACTCGTTAGACACGCAGAATTGTAGGCCCCACTCCACCAAGTGAATTGGAAACTGTAGAGGGCATGGGAATCTCCACTATCCCAAGCATTCCAGGTAATTCATAGGCACCTGGAAGGTGGGAAGCACTCACTGGTTTAGAGATAACTATAGGATGACAGTCTTTGAATCAAAACCTTTAGGCTAGATGTGAAGCAAGATGGGCTTTCTAAAATTTTGGAAAGGTAATAAGGTAATTTGGTGCATTTACTGCAATATAGGGCGTGTGGTTCAAGTGTGCGGTAGCATTCGAATGAGGCACACATATTTGTGTAGAAGCATCAATTTTCCTGCTAAGAGAGCTAATAAAGATCACATCAGTCCCCCATTAGTTCAAGTCCAGTTTTGCTGCCAAATGACTTTAGAGTTTGTTCTTGATTTTTGCATTTAGGTCTCCTCAGATTATAGAGAAGGTATTGGTAGTCCCCAAAGGTGTGGCTGGGAGAGGACTCCTGAGACACTGCAAAAACTTGCATTTTATGGTCTAGCTTACTAGTCAGTAAGGCATGAGCCTTGCACTGGAGCCCAGTCTGTGCATTCTCTTAATATGTCTGGAGAGGTGCAAAATCACCGGTTGCCTCCTTTAATATGCAGCAAAAGCTATGGCTGCTTCCCAGAAACACCCCAAGCTCCTAGGCCGCAACTGTCCTAATATCCTTTACTCAGAGAGGCTGGGATGTTTTATGATCTGATTTGAACCAAAAGCTCAGAGCAATAAAATGTGCCCACTTAGTGCTGAGCACGAGGGCAACACAGTGCAATCCCTGAGGACTTGTCCTCTGGGCTCATCCCTGCTGGCCCGGCCACAGGCCCTGTGAGCACCCCTGGGCAGGGTGCTTGCCTCCCATTCCTGGGTGCCCACTGTGAGTTAGGTGTCACACTGACTCCTTTACATTTTATGCTCATCCAGCCTCACACTGACTCTCCATTGATGGAGAGGAGTAGATTATGGAGTAGGAGTAGGTTATCTCCATTTTTCAAATGAGGCTGTTGGGAGGCAGGAACCCTGTGAGCAAGCACAGCTGTCAACCCTGGAGTCCACCTGGCTCCCACTACACGCTGATAAGTCAGTTTCTCTTGCCGTCAGAAGTGGCCGTTCACATTGCCCCATCCTCAGCAGGAAGTGCCAGCACAGATGTGTTTGGCAGTCTTCAGCTGGAAGTGAGCACCTGACCTAGGCGCAAAGGCTCACGGGCATAAGGTAGGCACCTTCCTGCTGACTCTGTCCTCAACCAGCCTGCCTGAACAGCTGTTACCCAGTGGGACTGTGTCATAACTGGGAGCCGTGAGTCTTTCTGTCCCCACTAACCCCTCAGTCCAAGTGACGTAGTCTGCAAAGCACAATCAGGTGTGAAGCAACTGCCTCCAAGTGGTCTCCAGTGGACACAGTCATGAAGCAGGAATCAGAAAAGGTAGAACACTTAACAGTTCGCACTGTTCTTTAACAGTGCTGTCTCCTTTGAGATGGGTGAGATGTCTATGGTTTTGCCATTTTGTAAATGTAGAGTCTAATCTGTTTGGTCATAAGTTTGGTATCAACAAAGAGAGATGCAATACAACATTGGCTTAAATTTATTTCTCTCTCCTATAGTCATCCATATATAAGTCACCTGTCAAATGATATCAGTAAACACCCTAGGTTCCTCCTATCTGTGGCTCTATCATCTCTGATACTTGACTTCTGGCCTGGGGCCCAAAGTGGCAGCTTCAGCACCTGCTATCACATCTACCATCTAGCCAGGGAGAGAAGGTAATAAAAAGGGCACAGAGAGGGCACATTTCTTTCCTCTAATTTGTGATGTTGAAGTTGTATACATTACTTCATTTGTATCATATTAGCCTAAATGTGATCCTTCCAAGAAAAACTGAAGAGTAAAATGTTATTCTGAGTGGCCATGCGCTCAGCCAAATAGTCTGCTACCATATGAGAAGAATGAACAGATCGCAGAAGATATTTGGCAGTTCTGCCACAGAGGAAATAGCTTAAACAGGTGACTTGTCCAAAGCTACACAGCCAGTGCGTTGAAGGACGGAGGTCATTTTCAAGTCTGTTCACTCATCCACCTCCTGTATCCTGCAGGCTTTTTCTCATGGCTTGCCACATCCTTCCTCCTTTATTTTCCTCCTGAGCTGTGGCTTTTCTGCATATAGCTGAGACAATTTCCTACTGGAATTTCCCAGCAGACCTGACATGGTCAGCCTAGAGCTGAGCTGAACTTTCCTAAGAGACTTATTTGTCCTGCTGAGGCTGGTGGTCCATGGACCACACTCAGAGTAGCACTGAGCCACTCTAGCAGCTGGTTGTGGACAGGATAGGATGTAGAGGTGATTCTCATGGATGTCAGCCTTTGCCCAGACTACGTCTGTTCCATCAGATACGAATGGTTTGCCAGGTGTGGTGGCGCACACCTGTAATCACAGCACATGGGAGGTTTGAGCCAGCCTGAACTACATAGCAAGACCCTGTTTCATAAAACAAAACAAAGCAAAACATTACAAATGGGTCTTCCACTGATACTTGGTGGTGGATGTGAGGGCCAGAAGGCACACAGTAGATGAATAGGACATCTCTTTGCCCTAGAAGATGGACTCTGATGGAAAAGACAGGTGGATTCAGGCCAAATTATAATATCAAGCAGAGTAATGTCTTATAAATACTGGAAAGAGACACAGGTGAAGGTCTAGGGGAGTCAGAGGCAAGAGCCATTCTCCTCCCTTCTCACATAGAGAGCTGTGGAGGTTTGGGGAGGGCCAGGTGCTGACCCCTGGTCACTCTGTCTTCATTAAACTCTCAAAGACCCAGTGTCAGACACTAGCCCAAGAATCTTGCACTGATGGGCTTTTCATTACCCCTTGGTATCAGTTTTCTTCTCCAGTCATAGGATTTTTCATTCAGGCCATGGCCACCCCACTGGTCTACCTTTCCCAGGCACCCTGACACTAGGTGGCCTCAGGACTGGGCCTGGCTATCGGGTACAAGGAGCAGCTGTGTGAAGATGCTGAGTCACACCCTGGGAGCAGGGCCTGTCCCTCTGCCCACCGCCACCTTGGTGGCCAGGATGCAGCTGTGTTGGAACACAGCTCCCAGCCCCTGCATGATGGGAAGACCCCAGATACCAGCCAGCGTGAGCGAAGGAAGCTGTGTCCCTGCTGCTCTGAGGCTGCCTCACTGCTCTGGCTCTTATACCTGCTGAGAGAAGAATAAATAGTCTTTCTTAAATCATTCATTTGGATTCTTGTTACCAAATCCATGCCCTAACTCTCCATCATCTCAGGCCTTCTCCCCCTGGTCTGCAGAACTGAAACTTCTCTTACTATTCAGGGAGTCATAAGCAGGCTTCCTCTAAGTCTGTTTTTGTTTCAGGAGCTAAAGGAAAGTTAGAAGCAGTCAAGTAAACTAGGAAGTACTGGGCATAATTGTGGAAATACAGCCAATTTAAAGCCTAACTCTGGTGCTTTGAATTAGGAAGTATATTTATTTGTGAAACACCACCTTCCTTTACATGGCTCTTTTTCTTTAAAAGTCTGTCCGGTAGGGGGCAGCCACGGAGGAGGAGGATGAGCTGGCCGTGGCTGGAGCCGCACTACTGGAGCTCGGATTCTCACTCAGGGCAGGGAGGCTCTGTGGCTGTCACTGCTGACAAACTGTGCTCCAAAACCCCATGAAAGCAAACTTTCCACCTCTGCTGTGAAGGCATTAGGTATTATTAGCAGTTTGGGCTTTCGAAATCACAGGCACCAATAACATGGGGTGAGGATCAGCAGAGTTGCCAGCTATTATGTGCCTTCACTGGAGAAAAAGAGCCTTTTTTATACCAAAGAGGGATCAAAAAGAACAGCTGCCTCTCCTTACTCCCTCCAGAAAGAGCAGTTGGCCACCTTCTCTAAGATCCTGTATTGTCCCGGCCGCTCTGCCTTCATCCCAGCCCAGGGATGATTCGAGAAATGACATTTGCGCTGGGGGAGCTTTGAGGTCTTTCAGCTTGAGCACTCCGGATTGAGGGCTTACTTTTGTTCTTCTTGTACCTGTGAAGCTCAGTGACATTCTGGAGCCTTCCTGGGTCCCCTTTGACTCCTGGAGCCATCCTGCTGTCTTGTTTAACATTTGTTACAATCTCAGAGACTGATGCTCTTCTCTTCTTTTCCTTGACCATCTCTCCACCTATTTTCACTACAGTGCCCCGAGCCAGGCACCCCAGGGCATATTTACCTTTGGGAGGATGAAGTGAGTCCCAAGAGCCACAGTTCAGCTTGCCTCTCCCCAGCCCCTTCCCCACTTCTCTCCAAGGAAATAAGAGTTTCTTATTTCTGGAGAGTTCAGGAAAATGGATTAGGCCACGCAGTCACAGCTCATGTATGCAAGGAGTCTTCTTTTCATCTTCTACCCGAAGCTTCGTCCTCACAGCTGCGTGGGTAAGGTCAGGGGCATCTGGCTAGCCTGAGCACCTTCCCAACACTCATCCACACACTGCGTGGGGACCTGGATGTGGATGGGTGCCCTGAAATACATGTTCAGAGACATTCATCTCAGTAGTGCCTGTAATCCCAGAAAACAAGGAACATCCAGATACCCATCAGCAAGGGAAAATTACTGATGGGGTACTAGCGCTGTGACAGGAAGTGTGGTCAGTCTGTGGGGCCTACGTGAGAAGGCGCCTTTGTTCTTTTTAAATGGAAAAAAATCAAGTTGCATAACTCTGTGGCTCTGTTTGTATGAGAGTTTGCCTGTACCCCAGAAGGAAGAGTAGCGGTGTCTGCCAGATTGGGTTTAGTTTGGCTACCAAGAGTCTGTTACCTGAGAGACAGAGACAGAAGAGGGAGAGAACATCTTTCAAAAGTAATACATGGCTAGTTTATTGAAGAAAAATAAGTAAGTTCCCCTGGAAGAGGATACAAAATGAAAATTAGAGCCTCTATCCCTCAGAGGTACCTACATTGAACTATTTCTATGTCTTTAAACAATTGGGGGTCCTTTATCTGGCAAATAGTAAATGTGCAGCACATTGTATTCTAAGAGGTGATGTGGGGGAAAATTTTTTCTTTTTCAAAAATGCTCAGATGTGTTCCTAAACCAAAACCAAAACACATGCAACCAGTCATTCTAATGCATCATCCCAGGAAACCAGGGCTTCTGGAGGACATATTTCTTCAGTTTTAATTGGTACAGTGTAGCTATACTTGATGACAGCATTCATCTTTGGGAATTTGTACCTGTACATGATATGTCTTGTTGCTTCTTTTTTTCTCGTCCCCCCCACCTTCAACCCCTCTTCCCTTGAGGACATATTTCTAATGGCAAATGAGTACGACCCTGATGGAGCCCCAGCCCAGGGACGGTGTAGGCAAAGGGCAGAGGTGGTAACAGGAATATGCACCTCATCTCAGAATGATGGGGCCTGTGTGAAAAAAAATGCTGTATGCCTTTCTTCCTCCAATGAGAAAAACGTGACCTGCACAGGGCTCTGCCTTTCTGTCTCACTGAGGAAAAGGTGGTAGACCACAGGGGCCCACGCTCTAGTCATCTTGAGAGTCATTGCTCTTCCTGCCTCTACCTAGCCCCACCTCTCCTGGGTGTGCAGATAGGACCAAGCCTTACACCTATGGGAGTATAGGTTTCTCAAATTTAACTATAACTGAAACCAAGTTACCTACCTGGTTTTACGTATCTCTCTTCTCAAAAACTAGGAAAAAACAAGGTGAAGCCAAAGGCAGAATTAGTTCCCAAAGGGCTCTGATAATATCTGTCATTGCCTTTTTAGTTTTAAGAACTTGCTGTTCTTAGAGAGGGGCTCGCTTTCCTGTCCTACCCTGCTTACAGCCAGGGGTTAGGACATCAGTCGGCCTGCTTGGGGATGGACTCTCCCAGCTCTGGCAGGGACCGGTGTGAAAAGCTGCCAAAGTCAGGACTTCAGAGTGAGGCCTGTCTCTTTTGCTGCCTTCCTCCACCTCATGCGAGAGGAGGGCAGAGAGCCAGCGAAGGACTACTGTAGCTAAAGGACTACTGTAGCTAAAGGACTACCGTAGCAAGAGCGGTAGCAAGGCCTGGCGTGGTCAGGCTGGGCTGGCATCTCACACAGGAGCGCTGTGAAGCCCTCCCCTCTTGCAGACGCCTTCTCACAGCCTGGCTGCACTCTCCCCTGTTGTCCTCTTGGGTCCTGACCACTCTGGGCACAGCTCTGGCCACTTCTGTGTCTCGCTCCTAAACACCGCCCCTCTGCCTTTCCCAGGGCCTGTGCTTTAACGGCAGTGCCTTCGTTTTATACCTCTCGGCCGCTGTGGTGGATGCTACTTCTGTCTCCTCAGAGAGGGACAGTCACAACTTCAACAGCTGGGCTGCCTCATCGGTGAGTGATGCTGCCAGCCCCCACCCGCTACTCCAAGGCCTGCTGTGGTCAGGGAGGAGAACAAAGTAATCTGCGGAAGAAAAACCCGCTTGCAATAATGGCAAATGGGCTTGTTGGTTTCAAGCATCCAAAAACTGACGGCCCCTCCTGGTGGCCTGCAGTGCCCTGAGGCTGAAGCCTGGATGAAGTGCTTGAGCCCCAGTGCCTGGCGCAGGCTGAGGAGCAGAGTTGTTTGGAATCACTCTGCTGCCTGCAGGTTATTGAGGTGAGGAGGGTGTAAAAAAGGAGTGTATGATTCCTTTTATTTTTTGTTTTTTGTTTTTGTCTTGAGTGGAAATGTTTACTTATGCCCTGCGAATGCCTAGAAAAATAAAGCCAAGAAAGGTTTTTTTCCAGGGAGGGAATTATGGAGGAAGGAAGTGGAATGAGAAACTTCTACTTTTAGTTTATGACTTGTGTTCTGTTTTATAAACCAAAATTGTGTGTTATTTTTCTAATTAAAGACTCATTTTAAGAATTGCTCTGAGAGTAGCCTTATACTAGCCCATCCCTAGAAGAAGCCTATGGGGTGAGGACAGTTACAAATGCCAGAATGATAATGTTAAAACTGAAGGTACATGGGAGCTTTTCTAATTTTTTTAACTTGTATGCAGATTTTAAAATCTGTGTTGAGAGGTAAAGAACACAGATTCTATGACATTAAAAATCACAAGCTTTGGTAAGACTGGGCTCCAATTAACAACAGCCCTGGGCTAGAATGGGTGTACCCCCCCACACACACACACCCTGCAAGAAAGGCTTTCTGCCTCCTGGCCTCCTGCCCTCATTCACAGCATACCAACCTCCTGGGTTTATTCATATTCTGACCCACTCGGCTCATTTCCATGAACTGACCCTGTAGCAATCTGAGGTTGAACCCTGGTCTAAAATTGCCTGTACTAAATTAGAAGTGATGTACTTTTCTTAGATGTACCCCACTATATTTATTCCTAAGTAACTCCCTGAGGTTATTTGAGCAAAACTATAGGCTTTCCAGATATGTTCAAAAAAAATAAAAACAGAAATCATTTGCGAAGGAAGTTAATTGAACCAATAAAGTAATTTTAGATGAGAAAGCCTGGAGCCAAGGGAATATTGTATTGGCATGATTCAGTGGAGGTGAAATGGTAACTTTTGCTAATTAGAATGTGCCCTAAGCCCTCTTTCTGTTATGCTTTGTTTTCCCTAGTTCTTTGCCTTCCTGGTCACCATCTGCTACGCTGGAAACACATATTTCAGTTTTATAGCGTGGAGATCCAGGACCATCCAATGATTTACCATTGTGATAATTAAAAGGAAAAAAGCAGGAAGAATTTCACTGTAAAAATAGCTGTAGGTATAATGTATATTTCCAGACAATTGTATTTAACTAATGTTTTTATATACTTAGTTAAATTGGCTCACAGTGGTTTGTTACAATTAAACAATACTTATTTGCAAAGTGTTATAACTTGTGATGAACTTTTTAAGTATCTTGTTGATGTCTTCATAGACCTTCTTTTCTTAGACATTGCATAAATAGATAAATTGCTGGTATTAAGAAGGTGTTAAGGGGGCTGGGGATTTAGCTCAGCGGCAAAGCGCCTGCCTGGCAAGTGCAAGGTCGTGAGTTCGGTTCCCGGTACCGGAGAAAAACCAAAAAAAATTAAAAAGTAAAACAAGAATGTGTTAAGTTTGTAAACCTAACTTTTAAAATGCTAGATTCTTTTGTGATTAAATGTTACGCAGTCTCAGGGAATTGTGTCTGACTGGAGAAAGGAAACCTCCTGCTAGGGAAACCGGAGGCTGGGTGTTGCGTGGACCTGTTCATCCTCTCTGGCTGGGCTGCCCAGGTGTGATATTGTCAGGAGACACTTGTCCATAGTCACCAGGGAAGGGTGACAGGAAAGTGTCATCTCCTGAGGTGGGGCCACAGTGCTCATGATGCCCACTCCCCAGTAAGTGGCCTAGGAAGCAACTAATGCGGCATGGCCTCGAGGTTGGTAATGCACTCGGTGGTACTGCCAAATGCAGGAGTTGGTGTGCTCAGGTATGTTTTTTTAATAATGCATAGTAAAACAAGTAGATAACCACTAACAGGATAAACACGTATGTACACCTTAAAGTGATCTTGCTGACCTCAGTGACATGGGTATCCTGTGTGCCATGTTTTGTGGAAACTTCTGGACCATAAAGGCTCAATATTTCAAATCTTTCAGGCGAAGATATTGTGACATCATTAGTAGATATTATCAGATGGTGGGAAGAATTCAGAACATCAAGGCAGATGCGCACTTGGAGGAAGTGCTTTTAAGCAGGATGGTTCTTGCTGGTACAGCAAGTATCTTGGATGATTTTTCAACATTAGCTTTAAAAAAAATACAACCGGGGCTGGGGATTTAGCTCAGCGGCAAAGCGCCTGCCTGGCAAGCGCAAGGTCGTGAGTTCGGTTCCCGGAACCGGAGAAAAACCAAAAAACCAAAACCAAAAAAAAAAATACAACCACAGAAATGTTAGTGGTCTGATGACATGAACAGAGTTGCGGCTGTGCACTCTTTAGCATGACTTCCTGTGATATCCACCACCTCTGGTTCTTTTCGTTTAGCATTGCCTTTTCTTTTTATTGATGTCATTTGTATTGGTCCTCTTATTTGTCTGGTTCTATTTCCTCCTCCAAGCTCTGTTCATTCCCAGAGCTGAGCACAGTCTTGGAACATATCCATGAAGAATGTTTTCAGCTTGTAGATGAGGCCCGAAGAAGCAGTGGGAGGAGGCTCAGAAGATGCGCAGTGGGCATAATGTACCACTCTGGGCAGCAGTCAGCAAGCGCGGGAGGCTGAGCCTTTTCAGTGCTGCCTGCAGGGGACGGGTACTGCAGTCTTTTCTAGAGATCATTCCATGTCGTCATGATGACAGCCTGCCACTTGCAGATTCTGCTGAAAATCTGAATGACTGGTCACAGCTAAAGTAAGGGCTCAGCTGCTCTGTCCCTACCTTCTTGTTATAGTCACAGAAGCATATCCACCTTCCACATCCCCTTGTGGATTTTTTAAGTACATTATCTTGCAGTCAAGTTCCCATAAAAGGCAAAAAACAAAACCAGTAACCTACAGAGGTCTACTTCTGAAAACAGTGAGAAAGAGGCCTGCTTTCAGGTACTGCAGGCTATGTTACTTCTATAACCAGGACCTTGTTTATGGAGGTAGCTTTTGGGGTGAAAATGCCATAAACCCATACTTTGAAATGTTCTCCAAGTAGACTAGAATTTTAGGGCTTTATTGAACTGGTAAGTGTCAGAGATCTATTTCAAAAGAACAATGGCTGGTCTGTAGCCATGCGGGGAGCATTTGCTATTTTGTCTTTATTTGTGGTTTTTCAGTTATCCTGAGAGTTCACCAAAACAATAACCAAAAGTATTTTTTTAACTGAAAGGTAAATATTATTTCCTCTTTTCGATACTGAGAATCTTTGTTCACAAATAATTTTTAGATGTGAGTTGTTAGACAATCATTATTAGATGAAGCTGTTGAGTTTAAAACGGATTAGCCTTAGTATTTTCTTTTATAAAAGCAGGAAAAGGACGAAGCCTCACATAATATAGCTAACACTGAGAAGACTAGGTTTCAGGATGAGGGTTGAAAGATATTATTCTAGGGATAGTGCACAACGTATTTACCATCATCTGCACTGGACATCTGCGTTCACCTCTCAGCCTTTCGTGCTCTCTTTGATGGAACCAGGTGGGTTTTTAATTTGATGTATTTACCCACTCATGAAAAATCAATAAAATGCTTTAGGCAATTAATCTCTTTCTATTGCTATTTCCAACTCATAACCCCAAAAGATAAATATTTAGCCAATATTTGAAAACTACAAGAAAATCTAAAGATAAGAATGTTCAATAACAATAATTTATTTTCAGATTTTTAAATTGCTCCCTTCACAGGAAAATCCTTCAGGGTATTATTAGCAGACAAAAGATATTAAAGACATAAAATATCTCTGTGTACAGCACAGACATTCAGAAACGCTGAGGATGCAGCCCTCGGTAGAAAGTCAATACAAAGTCTATATTTCTGCCCCCTAGGCAATTTTTGTCTTAATTGAAAGGATGGTTTTTCATAGAAAAAAGTGAGTTTTATTGAGAGTTCATTGAAAATATAGGTTTTGTTTTTGTTTCTGTAGTAGGGCCTTTACATTGAACTACATCCATCTCCAGCCCTTTTTATTTTTTATTTTGAGGATACCACTAAGTCACTAAGTTGCCCGGGCTGGGCTGGAACTTCTGAACCTCCTGCCTCAGCCTCGCAGTGTGCTGGGATTATAGTCCTGTACCACCATGACCACGCCCAGTTACAGTATGAGCTTTCAAAGGAAGTAAGCTTGTCCAGGCACATCCAGCCTGTTGAAGATCAGATCTTCAGCATAGGGACCAAAAACACACACTGGAGGAAAGGTAGCCTCTTTAATGAGTGGTGCTGGGAAAACTGTCAGTCCACATGCAGAAAATTGAATCTAGATCTGTATATCTCACCACATACTGAACTAAAATCAGAATGGAACAAAGATCTAAATGTTCAGCACTGAATCTGCTGAAAGATAAGATAGGTAAAACTCTTGAAGATGTGGGCGTAGGCAAGGGCTTTCTGAACAGAACCCCAGTTGCACAGAAAGAGTATCAAGAAGCAAATGGGATCCGATCAGATTGGAAGATTTCTGCACAGCAACAGAAACAGCCAAGAGAGTAAAGAGACAACCTACCGGGTGGGGAAGAAATTTTGCCAGCTGTTCCTTGGGCAGAAGACTAATAGCTAAAATATATAAAGAAGTCAAAAAATTAGCCCCCCCCCAATAAAAGGTGCAGTCAAACAATGGGCACGTGATGAATAGAGACACTTCTCAAAAGAAGAAGTACAGATGACCAATAAATACATGGAAAACTGCCCAGCGTATCCAGCCATTAGAGAAATGTAAATTCAGACAGCACTGAGATTCCATCTCACTCCAGAAAGAATGGTTGCCACCAGGAAGTCAAAGCCAGGGATGTAGCTCAGCAGCGCAGCACCTGCCTGGCAAGCACAAGGTCCTGAGTTCAATTCCTGGTTCCAAAAAGAAGGAAGTCAAATAATAACAACTGTTAGTGAGGCTGGGGGTGGGGCATGGGAGGTGAGGGGGCCTGGGGGTATGGGAGTGTTCTAGATTGTTGGTGGGAATGTAAACTAGTACAACCACTGTGAAAATCACTATAGAGTTTCCCAAAAAACTGAAACTAGAAATTCCATTTGATGCAGCTATACCCCTTCTGTGTATTTTCCTGAAAGAATTAAAGCCATCATATCATAGTGATGTACACATACCCACATTAATAGCGGCACAGGGGCTGGGGATTTAGCTCAGCAACACAGTGCCTGCCTGGCAAGAGCAAGGTCATGAGTTCGATTCCTGGTACCGGAAAAAAACAAAAAACAAGAAAACAAAACAAACAAAAAAATAGCACAATTCATAATAGCTAAATCTTGAAAACAGCTGATATGTCCATCAACAGATGAATGGATAAAAAAATGTGGTATTTATTCACAGTGGCATACTATTTTGCTACAAAGGAGGACAAATTTGTGTCATTTGTAAGAAAACGGGGGCACTTTGGAACCATAATGTTAAATGAAACAAATCAGACACATAAACTTAAATATGGTACGGTTTGTCTTATATGAGAAACTCAAAATGTGAACAAATCAAAGAGAGTAAGATAATCGAAATAGGGAGATAGATCTTCTACAAATGAGAAATGGACCAAGAAATGGGAGGGGTGGAGAAAGAATTACAATGTGTTATGTACACGTACCAACTCTGTGCAGTAAATATAATCATGTATTGCAAGGATGTACTAACAAAAACAAAAATTAAAAACAAATTTAGACCAGGCGAGGTGGCATATGACTATAATCCCAGCACTCTGGAGGCTGAGGCAGGAGGATTGCTATGAGTTCACGGCCAGCTTGGGCTACAAAGTGAGTTCAAGGCCAGCCTGAACTGCATAGTGAAACTCTGTGTCAAAAAGACAAAAAAAAAAAAACAAACAAACCCAAAAACAAAAAATAAACCCACAAAGTTATCTTGGTATATAGTGCCAGGATGTAAGGATGTGTGTACCCATTTGCACACACACACTCTGAATAGTAGCAACTAGAAAGCATATTTTACTTGACCTTCCATGAATGTCCTCCTAGCAACATGTAAACATTTTTTCTAGAATATTCAGAATAGCTAAAATAATTCAGGATGTAACAGACCTTGTGGCTGCCTGCCAGCATGTTTCCTCCCTTTCCTCTCACTATCTAGCCTGGTTTTTGTTCGATATCCATGCTACACACTTACAGCTCAGGTACTTGGAGGAAGCTGATTCCACTGTGAATCAAGAAATGGAGCCTAAAGCTCTGCATGAAGTAACCAACATAATCCTGCCCTGGGGATGATCATGTGAGCCA